TATGTAGGTATATAATTATTGAGTCGAAGAATTGAGTGAGTGGAATCTATTTCATGTTGTTCTATATACTAAGTAGATAGATAGATAGAAGTTGGGGAAGGTATTGCGGCGTACCTTCCATATCTTACAGTCACATGCATTGAACTTTCCTTTCTCTCCCCAGCATCCTTTTTCTTCGGTTCTCATTTTCTCCAGTTCCTTGGGATGAACAATTACTCTTTTTTTTTACCCTAAAATACCCTAAATGTGTATTTCGCATTACCCGATAACTTCTCGTCCCTCTTGTGGCAAGTGAGTAAGTAGTAATGCTGGATGGGCTGGGCTGGCTGGTCCGGGGGGCTTGCGTTCGTTAAAGTTTTTCCACCCGCGCCGCCGAAAGTCTAAGGGCCATTCCAAGCCCATCCCAGTACACAGTAAGTGGATTCTGCCGCTTTGTGTTCGAGTCGTGGAGCTGGAAACTAGATACTCTGTACTCCGTACGTGCTGTAAGGCGCGCCACTACTGTCCACACGTCGGTAGATACATCCTGCATGCGGAGGAAATCACATGGGGGTTCTTCATTCATTCATTCGATTCGAGACCAGACCTTGTCGCGCTCAGGACCGTTCGTGTGCGAAAAGTCGATGATCCGTTCAATACCTCTGTTGAATCTGGACGCACGCATTGGATTGGGAGAGGCTGGTTGGTGGGATCGATCGAGATACCCATACCACGGCATGTGAAGATTTGGAGGAAATCAAAAGGGTCTGTCTGTCAGGGCGTAGGAGTGAAGCAAGCAGTGAGCAGCTGGCTGGGGAAGGATCATCCCTACTCTTTGTGTTTTGTAGGTACTGTAGTTCAGCTGGGATCCTCTCCAGTTCTTGATTTCTGATAAGATTCCCGAATCATCTCCGACCCATTCATACTGACTAGTTATTAGTCTCTTTTTGTTTTTTTTTTTTTTTTTTTTTTTTTTTTTTTTCGTCTCCATCCGAGGTGTCATCTGTCCGCGCATGGTGACTGGTGAGACTGACCAGTAAAAATTATCCGAATGCCACAGGGCCAACGACCAGCCCCCTCCGATAATCAAACTGGAATAATAACCGTAATTCTTCATCGGGGTTCATGCCTACCGCCCAAGGGGGAAAGCTGCCAAGATTGTTGGGAAGCCAATTCTCCCTCTTACCCGGCTGTGGGGCCTAAAATCAAATCCCTATTGGTTCCAGCGGGGCGGTGAGCCTCCGCGGTTCATAGTCCCTGGTAACCCATGCTCGGGTTTGTTTCTGGAACGTGAAGTATTTTGCAATACTCGAGCCACATGGCCGGTTAGTCAGGAGTGCAACCACACAATCTTATGATCTTCTGGCGTGCGGTGAGAGAGAGCCATGCGGTGGAGGATCTCGGCTTAAGGGGGGGCAAAGAATAATCCCTCAGCAGTGAGCACACCCCGGAATGCAAATGACACTCTCGCCTCTGGCAATCAGGCCGGACGGATCAGCCGCCCCCTTCCAAGCAAGCAACAGGTGGCGTATACATCGCATCAACCAGTCACGGATGGTCCGCAACCTAGAGGGTTCATAGGCATGCGCATCTCGGGCAAGCCACAGACCAGACTCCTGTGTCGACCTCGGCTCAATTATCCAGATTCTCCATGATCTTGCTTTGAGTCAAGCAGATTAACTTCCTGCTACCTTGCCAGATGCGTCGATCGAGCCAGTGATGAAACCATCTGCAGATGTAGAGCATGTCACGCAAAAGGCAAACCGCGCTGAGATGGTCCAGTAAGCGCCGCCGAGGTTATCCATCCACCCGATCCCTTCTGTAGGCCAAAATGACAGGATAGAGTGAGATGAGAATGCGAATACTGCAGAGTGTAATGTTGTCGGGTCGTAATCTTCTCGTAAGTCGGGACGCCGTCCCGTATCAACGCGGTAGCCCCTGACCAATCAGATGTGTCCCACCCAATACAAATTTTTCGCGGGAGATCCCCCGTAACGCAAAATTACCAGCCCAGGGGCCCGGCGGGACTTGCATCCAGATCGGGTGTTTCTTGATGGCTTTGCCTTCTGGGCTTCTTCTTCTTCGACTGCACTAGAAATTCAGTCTTCCCTAATCAATTCGCGTGCGTTTGGTTCTTGGGTGTTTTTCCCCCTTACCTTTTCCTCTTTTGCAATTTTTCTTTTTTGTCCTCTTTTCGGGACCCTCATTTTTTCTTTTTTGTTTTGCCTCCCCCCTCCTCTCCCCGGGTTCTGCTGAACGCTGAACAGGTGATCATCAAACAATCGCCCTTCTTTTTTTTTTCTTTCACTCTTTTCGCCTCTGTCCATCCGCTTTTTTTCTCTCCCTTTGAACCACCCCGTCCCACTTCTCCCTCCGGTCAAGGCTCTTTGGAGGCGACCATTTATATCCTTCCGATTGTCACCCTTCCTCTCCTTCCCTCTTTTCTTCCCCCCCGATCCCAACCCTTCGTCTCCTTCGCCGCGTGGGAGCTCAACCCCATCCAGTGCCTACCTTGAGCTGCTACAGCTTTGGCGCCGTGTTCCTGATCCATTGGTATGTTGCACCTCACTTGACTTTGTTCTTTGCACAGGCTGCGGCATTGAACTCTGGCTAACAGAGCTTCCAACCTCTAGACTTCACCGTCTTCGAGCTCGAGAACACATTCTTGTGGGCAAGCTTCAACATGTCTTCCACAGCTCTCCCCAAGCGCGTTGCGCTGCACCGCAATGCTACGGATTCGTCCGTTCCCAGCTCGGTCACCCCCTCCCCGCTGGACAGCCCTCGCCAGTCCCCTTCGTCCACTTCCCTGTCGTCGTTGGCGTCGGAGGCAGAGGCCAGCGGCAAGATGCTGGACACCTATGGCAACGAGTTCAAGATCCCGGATTATACCATCAAGCAGATCCGTGATGCCATTCCCGCTCATTGCTATGAGCGCAAAGCTCTCACCAGCTTGTACTATGTCTTCCGGGATGTCTTCTGGCTCGCGACCATCTTCTATGTCTTCCACAACTACGTGACCCCTGAGACCGTCCCTTACAAGCCCGCAAGAGTCGTGCTGTGGGCTCTTTACACCATCGTGCAGGGTCTGTTCGGTACCGGTGTCTGGGTTTTGGCTCACGAGTGCGGTCACCAGGCTTTCTCTCCCTCCAAGGTTCTCAACGACACTGTTGGCTGGATCTGCCACTCCGCTCTTCTGGTGCCCTACTTCTCCTGGAAGATCTCCCACGGAAAGCACCACAAGGCCACTGGTAACATTGCCCGCGACATGGTGTTCGTGCCCAAGACCCGCGAGCAGTATGCCACTCGCGTCGGCAAGGCTCTGCACGAACTCAATGAGTTGATGGAGGAAACCCCCATCGCCACTGCCTCCAACCTCCTTCTCCAGCAGCTCTTCGGTTGGCCCATGTACCTGCTCACCAACGTCACTGGCCACAACAACCACGAACGTCAGCCTGAGGGTCGTGGAAAGGGCAAGCAGAACGGCTACTTCGGCGGTGTCAACCACTTCAACCCGTCTAGCCCTCTGTACGAGGCCAAGGATGCTAAGCTCATCGTCCTGAGTGACATCGGTCTCGCCATTGTCGGAAGCATTCTGTACTTGGTCGGCTCCAAGTTCGGCTGGATGAACCTTCTGGTTTGGTACGGTATCCCCTACCTCTGGGTGAACCACTGGCTGGGTAAGTTACTTCCTTCACAAAATGGCACAATTGCTGGAACGAATACTGACTGGAACATATAGTCGCCATCACCTACCTCCAGCACACCGACCCCACCCTCCCCCACTACCAGCCTGATGTCTGGAACTTCGCCCGTGGTGCCGCTGCCACCATCGACCGTGACTTCGGCTTCGTCGGCCGTCACATCTTCCACGGTATCATCGAGACCCACGTTCTCCACCACTATGTCAGCACCATCCCCTTCTACAACGCCGATGAGGCCAGCGAGGCCATCAAGAAGGTCATGGGATCGCACTACCGGACCGAGGCCCACACTGGCTGGACCGGATTTTTCAAGGCTCTCTGGACTAGTGCCCGTGTGTGCCACTGGGTTGAGCCCACCGAGGGTGCCAAGGGTGAGAGCTCCGGAGTGCTCTTCTACCGTAACACGAACGGCATTGGAGTTCCCCCTGCCAAGCTTGAAAAATAGAGCATGTCTGTCGTACATAGAACGAGTGATATCTTTTTTTCTTTCTTTCTTGGAATTCTTTTTTACCTTTTTTCGTCATCTTTCTTTTTTTCCGCATCACGTGGTGCTCTCGCAGGATCGACATGGACCACGATATGACACTTCCTGTTGTTGTTATGTCATAGACCAACTGCGAGTTTTTTCGGGCTGAAGGCGTATACGGAACATGGGGTAAGGATTTGAACGTGTAGAAGGGCCAACGTCATGTCTGATTTAATCGTCCATTATTATGAATGTAATCCGGAGGGGAATCGTGTAATATGATCATCAAACAGCTTTCACGCTTTCAGTGCAGCTCGAATCGAGTAATCTTCTAGTTCTCCTTTGTCTTTGAGCGGACCTCGGTACAGACCTCTGTCACCATCGTTATGGAAAATCTGACTGCTACTTCGCGGTCAGAGTATCCGAAGACTGAAGACCGAAGGGTCGAACGAACAAGCGGAATGGGAGAAGCTCAGCAAGTCCCCAGCTGGCTGACAGCGTCCGGACGGACCCACCGCATCAAAAAAGAAAGCAACAAACTATTGGGAGGCTGACACCTGGGCACTAGTGATCACATTGACCCAACCCAAAAAGTAAGCATAAAATTAAGGTGGGAATAGTGTGAGCGTGTGGGAAGGGCACTGAAGAGCTTAAACCTTGGGTGAGTCAAGTTAATGTTAGTTGGTGGTGGTGGGCAAAGGAAAGAAAGGAAACAAAACTGCGGGGGCGCCCGTTCCGCCAGACGCCGAAAACAGACGCTAGTCCCGGAACAGGTGAGACCCCTGGTCAGTATCCAGCAGGAAGGCCTCGGACGGTTACTAAAAGAAAAAGTATATTCAAAAGAAGAAGTAGGAAGTGGAAGAAAAGTGAGTCAGAAATATATTGTTCGTGTCGTAAATCGTGACAGGGAATATCGCGCTATATGGTGTCAAAATCTTCTGTACAGCCCCTCAGCCCACCCTTCCAGATTTCAAACTCCGCCTCGTGTTGGATTTCGTCTTGTTCAGTGACTGGTCCGGCAGTCCAGGGGGCAAAAACAAGTTTCATGGTCCTTCGGACGCCTCGTGTAACTGCCTGTGTTGACATTGGTAAGGATAGCCCAGTTGTTGCATGATCATCACGGACAATATTCGGGACACTGAGATTCGTCTTCTCGTCTACTGCATCGGTCTCGTCCGGTGGTGCAGAGACTGCAGGGCTGTGTGCTCTAGTATGTTCTTCACTCTCCGTTGGTACTCGTGATTCCGAAGGCTCATTAGCCTGTTCTCTTGCTGTAGGCAGCAATTGTTTTTCGCTGGAGACAAAGGTATCCTCTAGGATGGCCTCCCAATCCACGAAGCGGCTCTCCTTCTTCAGTGCAATGCGACATGCAATCTGGGTAGACCAAACCAAGCCCAGAGCTGGGGTCTTTTGTGCGGTTTGTTGAAAAGCTGGGTACAGGCTTGAAATAGTAGGTTGTAGCGTGTCACCCCACCCAGTGAAGAACCTCTGTTGGTGTAGAAGACTCAAAATCTCGTTTCGTACAGGGTTGCCAATCAGGTATGACCCGTCGAACTGCTGCTGCTGCTGCGGATCATCCTCCGTGGTGAACGGTGATGAGGGAAGACTAGAGGGTGATGGTTGGAGGACCGGATTATGTGGAGTCAATTCGACATTTCGGGACTCAAGAGGTCGACTTCTTGACAATGGTGTAGCAGCTTCTGATTCGTGATGTGACGACAGCACTTGCTGTTGTGTGGAAGGAATAGGTGAGATGGCACCGCCATTCAAACGAGATAGTGTTGGATGCCTGCCAGCAGCTTCAATGCGATCAGAAACTTGGTTCGCTACTACAACTGCGACATTCTCGTCCACAGCCAAGTTCCTCAGCATCTGGCCTAATCTGGCAAGCTCGCCAGAGCGTGTGGACAACCCCGACAGATTATGGGACGAATGTTCCGCCCGGTAGTTTGCAGTTATGGAGTCGATGATCACGAGTCCAACATTATATCGCATGATTGCGACAGGGAGTTGGTAGTTGAGGATGTGATCTTGTGCCTCGAGATCCATGGCATTGATGGACAATATATTTTCCAGCGAAGGCTTGTGGGCTTGAGACAAGGTAGAGAGATATGGATGGAATTCAATGAGCTGCGAAAGCCGTGGTGTCGATAATGGAGCTTCTGTGGAGATGTATATGGCACACTTGCCCAGGCCACGAGGTGCAGGGAGTTGAGCGGCCAGAAGAAGGGTGAGAAGGAATTGCGTCTTTCCACTCCCACTGTGACCGGTTAACCGTTAGGTCAGGACGTCTCGAATACGAATGGACTCACTCTGGGGAGCGAGTATACGCACCTCTCACCAGTTACCTCAGTCACATAACCCGTCGGTATGCCGCCATCGAGCAGAGCGTCCAACGTGGGGTCGAGGGTACTAATTGCGCTCCACTGTGATAGGTCTAGCTTGGTTGTCGGGCCTGGGAAGACAGGAACGTCGACACTGAGGCTGGAGCTTGGCTCATCAGCATCGGGATCTCTGTTTTCCTTGAAACCGACATCATGATGGAGAGCTCTTATGATCTGAGCGGACAGGCGGCGGACATCGGCGGGAGGGACACGAGCACGCTTTGCGACTTCGAGAGTGTCGAGAGTGATCAAGTCGACCGTGCTGATATGGCTTCGCTCAAGAGGCGGAAGAATATGAGCATATGGCTTGGTAGGGAAGTCCGGAAGGACCGACAAAAGATCCATAAGCGTGGAGGTGGAGGAAGTCGATACTGGAGACCCTCGGTCATCTCGTGCGCGACGCGGAGAAAACGCGGGTCCACGTGCTGCCGCCCAGCGGCTTCCCTTCTTGGAACTCTTTTGGTCCGACTCACTTTCTATGAAGTTGTCCTGAAGTTTATTTACTATCAATGTCATGTATATTCCAGGCTACTCCTACTTATCTAAATATATAGTGGACTCTAACTCCTCATACTATAAGCATGATGTTGATTGCATACTTACCCGAGCACTCGATTATATATCTATCCCACCACACCGTCATTTGGCATGATGATCAGCACCATCAATCAACTTACTCCATAAATGATGCAGAACAGCATCATGTCGATGATTAATACTAATAGTACGAGAGCTAACTGAAACATCAGTATTTTGTCACTGCAGTACAGGTTCTCAACGAAAGCCCTGATCCTCTCAATCATTGCCTCTTCGCCGCCACAAGACTATCTCCTGCCAAACACTATTCTCGAAGGCCAGTGCCTACACTTTCTTATCTGCATCACGGCTCTGGAATTTCGAATGACTTTGTCAAGTTACCAGAAGCATGTGGAGCATTCTCCCAACTTGGCTGTCGTGACTTGACTTCATCAACTGAGTCGACAGTCCATCCGTGAACGGTGCAGCAGCAGGACTATCTGAGATTAGAAGGCTGTGCCAGTGTCTAACACTGGCTTACAGCAACTCCAGATGGGTATTCTCTTATCATGACATTCGCTGCCTGTTTCTGAACAGTGCTCGTCATTTGTCAAATCAACATCCTAGTCCGCACACCGGTACTAGAAGCAGAGCTGAAACTACTGCGCCAATAACTTGTCTGAGGACTAGCACATCAGTATTCATCCCTTGGTCTTCACATATATGCATTTATTTCAGTATGCTCGACTAACCGTTATGCTCTTCTTCAGCAACGCTCAAGTAGGGGGTTTGTTTTAGGTCCTCTGAACTTGACTCGCAGTCGTTTAAACTACGGGATTCACCAGCGAACTTGCAAGGCAACTTAACCCAATCATGTGCACCGAGACTGGAGAACAACGCGCGAGACAGAATATGATAAGCTGAATGTAAGGAAGTGAACGCATCCACCCAGTCTGTTTGCATGACAACGACATGTTGCCATGACTAGAAGTAGGAATATCATCAAAGTGTTCAAAGTTTCGGTCAGAGGCCTTGGATCGACGTCGACAACACTCAAAAACCGCAATTACGCCACTATGCATCTTCTCCTCTGGTGACCTACTAAGAATGGTGGATATAGGGTGCATCTGTGCCCAAATATTCACTCAAATTGTCAACAGTGCCTCCCTTCCCAGACCCTTGCGACACATCAGCTGCACACCTGTACCAAGCCCTAGACGAAAGTCCAATGATGACGCGGAGCACACCCGTATCAGTTAATGCGCTGACAAAGTAAGTGTTTTCCCCTTCCTTCTATGGGAACCATGATGTCTATCCCACATTGGACACTAACATACATACTCCGAACCCACATATCCTAAATAATACGTACATTGCCCATCTTAACGTACAGTGATCATTATATTGTTATCCGGACATAGAAATACCGAGTTATGCCGGAATCCGTGATATGTCTCGCACTATGAAAGAAGTAAGGGGACGGAATTTGTGTACAGCCACATGGTGCATCTCGGATGAGCGTATCAGGCAAGCATGGAAACGCAATCACCCATAGGGGTTGTAGCAGATTGACAGTGACGGACATAGCCGAGACACGGATGGGTATGTGGCCATCGCTCCTTGCGTCAGGAACCTAAAACATCCTCTAGCATGATTCTGGGGTAGGTAAGGATAGCATATGGCAATGAAGGCCCTGCTCGGATATTGGACTAAGGATACTGAGCTATGGCTAGTGAGATACTATAGCATGAAACATGCCACACCTCATACAGCCTCGTCATTTTCGCCTATCACATTGATGTTGCTGATAATATCCAAGGTGATCCTTTACTCCTCAGGTTAGTATGCATTGATCTCAGCAACAAGGAAGGTTCGAAGGGCAATCGATCTACTCCGTTCTAACACCGATCTGCATTGACCAGGATCTGTCTTGAACCTGGAAGCATGGCCTCTGCGCTGATGACCTGATCATGGGGATGTCTCTGCCTGCTGACCTGAGACCTTAATGGAGATCATGACGTTATCCCCTTGAGAATTGCTTCACATACGTGCAGAGTTCCCGAATAGATGCTCTCACCCCTACAGGGTGCTTCAAAGGGGACTATCGAGGGTAAGCACAAGCACGAAAAGCCGAATGGGTCTTATACATACACTAGAAATTTACAGCTAACCTCACCAAGCTTGGTAAAGAGTCTGGCTGTCAGACGCCGCATGGAATGCGTCGTCTCCCGTACCCTTGGAGCCCAGTAGATAGACTGGACTTTTGCAGAGGTGGGTACCTTGCTTACCGGACTATCAGAGCATCCTGTCGAGAACAAGGCAACTAAGTCTACGGCATGACACTCTTCCAACTAGTTAGGTAGCTGAGCTTTCGTTCACATGTACTGCGGATGAAGAGAAGAGACATCATATTCCCAAGCAGATCATGAATGCCTTGGCAGAAGAGACCCTAAAGAGGTCCAAATTCCGTACCTTTATATTGCGCCAGAAAGATAATCTCGTTGGTGGGAGAGATTTCCAGCACGGCTGAGCACAATGGCGTCCAATTCCTGGACATCGAACCCTATAGTCACATTCTCGATCTAGCGACGTCTAACCCGATTGAGAGGGCCCAAAAGAGTCTGAGAGGGTCTGGACTACTGTGTAGTGATGCGTTACTGGCGGTATCTCCTCGATTTTGAGAGCGAAGTCGGTTGATCCCCTATCCCATCTGCATGGTACAGACACTGCCAGTGCAAAGGAGACAGCATCCACTCTGCACCACACAGCACCAGAGAATCAGTCAAACCCACCCCAGAATTTGGCACCGGCCGCCCAGGCACGCACAGACAACAGCGCACCCGCGGCCGCGTCCAAGCTCAACGGCGACCCAGAGAGAAAAGGGCAAGGCCTCTAGCCTAATCACCAGAGGCATATTCAAATCCCGACACCGTGCCCGTCCTGTACCTTTCCAAAATACGAATAAAAGCCAAGCAAATCCTTTTCACCACTCACGCTGATTGGAGAGAATCTGGAACATCCCGTTCCCGTTTATTCCGAGAGATACGAGGGAGGGAAAGGAGAAGAGGGGACTCGATGCATCACATTGGGTGGGGACGCGGATATCACGGCGTCGCGTATAGTAGTCTAGCTCACGGCAAAAAGAAAAATAACGGTCAGCTAGAACATAATTAGACTAGTCAAACTCCTAGTGAGTAGACTATGTACATGCTTAAGTGTCTCTGGAGGGGGGAGGGTTCTAAGTAAGTACGATAGTTAGTTAGTTGATAGATAGCTACAGCTAATAGTCATAGCTCCAACTCATGTTAGGACGAATGGGAAGGTGGGGACATCCAGCTCCGTGCAGTGCTCAATATTTTGACAGCCATGAAAAGATAGATAGATAGATAAACTATTTCCTCCGGAGTGGAGCATCAATGGGGAGGATGATGATGATGATGAAGCTAAGATGCACTCCTCTGTAGCTTTTCCTACTATACGACGCACTAGTAGTACATGGCAGCTCTGTATCTATATGATGATGAGGATAGTTATCCATAATACAGTATGCACATTCTCTCAGGATAACTCCCCATGAAAAGAAGACATTACGATCAGCTTCGATCCTTGGAACTAATTTCATTATCTCGATATTTATTTTGATCAGATATTTTGTTAACTACCAAGGAAAGATTAAAGCCGATCATTCAGCCACCAAGGAGGAGGGGATGGTTGCTGGCTGTTAAATGAAGATCTACGCAAGGAATAATGAAACGTACAAGTTAGTAACTCCGTAGATGAAAAAAGATAGATAGATGGATGAATATCGGGATGAGAATAAAGAAGCTGTCGTGGTAGTATGTGTTGTGCATCGATCGCTTGCTTCAAGGGCTGGTGTTAACTATACTGGTGATGGTGATGGTGGTGCCAGATGCAGAATTATAATCGTGCATATGATGGTAAGTATCTTACTTACGGAAATAGTAATTAGCTAGTTGCATACATAGATGGATAGATAGATAGATAGGTAGGTGCATTGGGAGGGACTGGTACTTTTGTTTTTGCATACTAAGCCTCGTGGATCGCGGGATTTGCAACGGGATTTGAATGAATGGATGGATGGATGGATGGTATGGAGTAATATACTTTTTCATACCTCAAGTATGGTCCACGAGAGGGTTTCAGTCGGTGCGTTTATTTTTTTTTTTTTCTTTTCTTTTTTTCTTTAATTTCATTTTACTCTTTCTTTTTTCTTTAATTTTGCTTCTAGCGTTGTCATGTCACTGGTGATCGCACGGCTACTACTACTCCATAATATAATATTCTCTCCAATGACCTTCAAACTACTCACCAGTGGAAGACCATGAGACCTGCCAAGTATGTGAGTTGTGAATGAAATACCTTGCTATTACCGGATCCATCCCCGCTACTGATTATGGGATGGGAAGAAGCTCTTGGACTCGAGTCTCGGTATGTAATATGGCGGAGAAAATCCAAATTGGGGAGGGGAGAAAGAGGAGGAGGCAGTCGGGGACCATTCGTAAAGTAATCGGTAGTCTGCCACGATCGATGTGGTTAGAGGGCAGGGATGAGTCTCCTGCAGATGCGAGGAATGCACACACGTCTTGCCGACCACCACTCCGTTTGGAGCTCGGTGGGTGGCTTTTTAATCCCCGAGAGCGCCTCAAAATGAAGGTTGTACAACAGGCACTCTTGCCTAGGACCGAATGTCGCCGTCCGAGATACTCGGGGATGGAAAAGATAATGCGACAGAAGAGTGTCGATAGGAGAGTTTTTGAGGGTTTGAATGCAATAATTGTGATGGTGTGGTGAGGTGGCATTGCCACATCGCCGCCCCGTTTCCCCCCAAGCAGGCTAGTAGCTAGGCTTAGCGTCGTGGCTCGCAAAGTACTTGTGTGTGTGTAAATCCATCTGGTGATGATGTTTCGAGAGATCAAAATAACCGTTTCAATGTGATAACCTCAGGAAGGACCTGCTCAAGTATGTGCCCGATTTTCCGGTAACTTGTCTTTCGCTTGCATTCTCTCACGCTACCTGTTACGCCTCCCCAAATACCAGACGCCCAGCACCACACATGACCCATGCAGCCCAACCAGGAAGATCCATGCGGGTAGACCCGACAGGGTGGTTACTGGTCAATTTGTCTCGATAGCGCACACTCGGCTTATGCAGCAGAGGCATCCGGACCCAGAAGACAGAGTGCTGGCGAAGTTCACAGCACGGAATGCGTCCAACATGCTTGCCTCGGATACCTCGACTGGAAACGTTAATCGGCCTGGATGCACATACTTCAGGTGAAAGTACACGTCAATGACCAGAGAGAAACTCAACGGTCTAGTAATGCTACTATGCACCGGCACGGATCCGGCAGCTTTCTGGAACTCATGCAGAATGAATGGGTCGCTCGGACGATGGTGCCATGTCTCGGCGGCACGCATGTAAGCAACGGTATCAATTTGGTATGACAACGGTGGTGGTGGTGGTGGTGGTGGTGGTGGTGGTAATTGATGGGAGCACAAGGCACCTACTTACCTACCATGTACTAGTCGTCGCAGCTAGTTGCTGCTGAATGAATGAAGGATTAATGACAGGAGAAGCAGGCTGTCGATGCAAGAGGGTGGTGGCCGATGCACGCTGTCATCATCGCTTTTCGGTGGCTTCTTGGGGTTTCCCCACTCTACTATTCTTCTTCCCTTTTCTTTCCCCCTTGTGGGAGAGCATGACATGATCCCAGACTGACTCTCCCTATAAACAGCCGAGACTATACCTGCTAACCATAAATTGATCCTCATTATGATCCCCAGGTAGAGCAGGAGACGGAGGAGATTAGAGTGATTGACATGGAGATCTTCCCGGAGAAAAGTCCCCATTGAGATTCCAGTCCGAAACGCAGGGGTGATAGGCGCCCGTAAATCGACTAGATTCTGCCGGGGAAGGTGCGGTGTGAGCCCGGGACTCTCTCTTGCCCTCTCTTCTTTTCTCTTTTCCGGTAGGAGGGTACAGTCACGCAGACAGTCTGTTAATCAGTCAGTCAGTCAGTCGGTCCGCCTGCCACTAAAATAGTAGCACTTGAGTAGTACGGAGTAGTAGTAAGTAGTAGCAGTAGTAATAGGAGCAGTGGTTGGTGGTTGCACCATAGCAGGTACACGAGGTGTCCATCACACCGTTATCCCGCAACTTGTCACAGCTACCCCTGAGGAACCAAGTCTATTCATAGTCGGTTCGACCATGTCATACTTAAATAGCTAGCTCCAAGCTGACTATGTGCATACTAGTCCACCTGAGTATGGAGTAATAGTAGTATGTTACAGAACGAATATCCACGTTCCGACCTACCGTCAAGAGCTCCAAAACAGTGTGATCACAACATCTTGTCGCAGTCTAATTAGGTCCGGATAGTATATAATACATACTCAGCGGACTGAGGATGCTGTAGGTCTTCAACTACTTTCTCGTCTGGTGGAATGTAGGACAATGCCTGCCTAAAGCCGAGGTGCTGAACCAAACTGTCAAATTGGCTGGAATGGGGCCGCTGTATTCGGTGCGGACCGTCTGGGTGGGGCAGAATGAAACCTTCCACAATCCAGCCATCCATTCCATCCATCCTCCATCCGACTTACTTACCACAGTACGGCACACGATGATCGGGGCTGGTTTTCATGAGTCAAGGGTCATAGCCAAACGGGTGGACGGACCAGGCAAAGCCGGCGCCTGACGCTTGATTTTTTCCATTCAGGGCAGTTTCAGTGGAGTCGCTGGCAGTGGTCGAATCATGTCGCGGGTGGGCACAGGAGGAGGGTGTGGAGTCTCAGCTTCCGATTTGCTGAGCAGCCCTCGTCATTCGCAGGTTGCGATCCGATGCTAATCCCAAGCAGGCAAGACCACGGCCTAGATGGGCCTGCAGGCGCCAGGCTCATAAGGCTAAATTACCTGAAGGACCAAAGAAATCCTCCAACGATTTGGGGTCGGGTGTTCTGCGATCGGGGCTGGGGCAATCCCCCCCAATTGTCGAGCTGACGACCTGCTTAGTTGGTCACTAAGTAGGGAATAATCCCTGAAAACCGTGAACAGTCCGGGCTTCCCTACTAGAGGCCATTTCGTGCAGATCCAATTTTATTCGGAGGGGGCTGCGTCAGGATTTCACATCCCAGGCTCCTGTAGTTTTCAGTTAAGATCGTCAGTGCTTCGATCGGTGCCAGATTTGCTTTTCTCGGATTGTTGTTTGGTTCGCCTTCGGCCGGTACCGGAAATCACCATTTACGGACGGACGATTGTCATTCGCTCATCTGCCACCCAGCTGCTCCTCACGAATGACTGCCTGCTTACCTAGATGAGAGAAAAGAGAGAAAGAGGAAAAAGAGCATGGAACCTGCATTGCCGCATCGTAGTTCGCATGTGGCCAGCCCTAATTAGGTACCAATGAGTAGGGTGCCGTATTGATACGATAACGAGTAGTCAGTCATCTTTGGCGACCGTCTTACGCCTTGAATAGCAGGGGAAGATTCGAATATCTCCTATCTCGAGATTATTGGCTCCAGGCTCGGAGCACACAGCGTACTGAAGGACCTAGCCAAACTCAAAAAGCGTGCCATAATTATCCCAGGGCTACTCACCAACCAGCGGTCCAGTGACAGGCCGCTTTGGGCAAAGTGCCAAAGTAAGCAACTACGCCTACTATTAATGAATCCTGAGATCGCACAAGAGGACGGAGTAGCATAATGTCAAAACGTTCGATTCCGACTGACAAATGGGGCAAACCCTCCCCAGGATTGCCGACCCTCTCTTGAGACTGGCCCATCCCCAGTGCAGCAGATAGATAGCACGCAAACCTGCAGGATTGGCAAAAGGGCTAGCGATGATGAAAAGAAGACAAAGAGCGCATTGACCAACCCCGCTATCCTTCAAAGCTCCTCTTTCTTTCCCAGCTCCCAGGCATTTGGGATAAGCAACCGGCCCGCTGGACTGGGTAATTGCGAGCCCAATAATACAGCGTGTTATACGTGACTGACAGGGGGTCGAGTCGGGTAAGTACTTGTCTCATGTGAAGCGTTGTCGGAATCCAATGATCAGTCATGAGCCCATCCTGGATCGAAGTCCGGTGGGTTACCAACACTCTGGTTAATTACACCGTGCCGTAAACTCACTCCTACTCCCAGCTGTAAAGTAAAAAGACAAAAGTCAGCTTGACCATACGATTAAGGTCAAGTCTTTTTCTGGATGGTCATCCACTCATTATTGTCCCCAGTCTGATGATTATTCGTATGATTATTGATCCATCTCGAGGGAGTAAAGTCCGTGCTGCAGAACATTCCCAATTATAGAGAGCACCCGGATAAAGTAAGAGCTTTGTAAATTGTAAGTTAGGGAGGAAGGGGGAAAAGCGGGCTTCTTCTCCAGTTTTTTTCAGACGTGCCTCTCGGTCTCTTCTCCGTGCCGGGACTTTCCTAAGCTACAGATCTCAGGAAAGAAACCCCAATAGCATTAATGCCGACTGGGTGCCCCATAATGTCCATCGATTTGGAAGCGACGCGACCGCCAGAAAATCACCTTCCAGTTTGACGCGAGAGATCGCCCTTCCGGACAACCCCCTAGAGTCTAGTTTAGCCTGCCGGGCCTAAGCTGAGCGCTTGCAACTGGCAGTTACGAGCATCTACCAAGTACTAGGATGCCGACAGGATCCCCTTTGCCCAGCTGCAACTTGAGAAGGTTCGCCCTCGATTAAGTTTCATCCATTCAAATTGCGTCGCTTATCAAGGATGGCAGCTCACTAAGCTGTTTATGTCGCTAGTTAGCACCTGGGTATTCCAAGAGGCTTGCTTACTTATTCATCCCAGTCGACCCTAACTACGTACTACTTACTAGTAGTCGTTGTTAATTATTTCATGAAGAAGATCCGACCAGGGAGTTCAGACCTCGTAAATTGCAAGGCCTGTAAATATTTTGCCGGTGCCAAAAAGGTCACCTTCCTAGTATCAAATATCCGAACTAAGCCCCCTTCTCTTTTTCCTCCCAAATACGAAACAGACGTCGTTCCCCCCTCTTTGTTTTCTCTTGAGATTCACGGACCTTTGCCCTTCCCGCCCGGCCGGAAAAGCCCCCAGAGCCAGACCCACTGCCCTCAGCGACTACCGATAAGATTTGTAAAGTATTTTTTTGTTTGCTCTTTTGGGGAATTAATGCCTGATTATTTCATTTTGCCTTTCTTGGGTTAAATTTGCATTTTTCCTTCTCACAATTTTTTTTTCTATCTCTTTATTTTTTTTTCTCCTATACAAAAAGGAAAAAGGCAAGCCAAGAGGGTCGCAGTCGCGATTGCAATGTCCCATTGAACCTAACCGCTGCCTTAGCACTTGGGCTAAAGCAGGAGCGTGGCCTCCCAGTGGATCGGCCGGGCTGCGTTTCCCCTCTTCTGGCTCCATCTCCTTTTCAGTCCGACCCAGTACCCACCCCTCCGGCTCAGTAGCGCAGATTTAGTCTCCTTCATCCTTGGGGGGTGACCGGGTAATCTATGGGAAGTTAAGTACGTGAAAATAATAATGTGCCAGAGATGTATTAAAACCGAACACTAAGTACTACTTATGTATGGTATGACGAATGACCACTTTAATTTGTAGTTAGTAGTCACGATGGTGGCGTGGAGAATTACAAAGTAAGTAAGTAGTCTGTGAGATCATTTCAAAAATCCCCCCTTCTCCGGGAGAATTTCATACCTTGAAGCCGGACTATTTTATAAGTAAGGTAAGTGGAGGCTTCGTAAGTGAGTAGTAGAGAAGCTATTGCCGTCAATAAATAGACTTGGGGTGATTAAAGTGGGAGAAAGTCGTACCTTCAAAAAAGACTGTAAGAGCCAGACCCGGAAGTGGGCCGTCCGCCGAGCAGGGTAATTTTACCCAATTACACCCACACCCTCGGAGCCGGCTTACCCAGCCAGAAGGTCAAGTTGTGTGAGTCTCTTGAGTCCCAGTTCCACCCGCCAAAGTGGGTGTGGTCCATGGTAGGTATAGTCGCTATAGCGCACCTCATCTGCCTTTTCGAACGATCTCGTTACGGCTGACTCTGCCACCCTCCTACTCTTCCTCTCTCTCTGTCTGTATCTCTTCTTCTTCCCCCCCTCCCTCTTCACCCTCTTCTTGTCGGTCACGCTGCTTCTTCTTGGTGGTATCCATCCCTCCATCGACCCCATCCATCTCCAATCTCTCTCCCTTCCCGTCCGTCCTCTTCTCTCTCTCTCTCTCTCTCTCTCTCTTGCCATTCCCTCTCCATAGCCCGCTGGGTCAATTGCTAGGCCATCGGCCATTCTGTCGCTTATCCACCCACGACAGACCCAACTTCTCTCTCATCCACTTGCTTTCTTTTCTCAGATTATAGTCGAACACTTCCATGCTGTGATCCGATCCGCTATAATTTGGAGCGACCGATATCAATTCCAACCTCACCACTCGCAAAGTCTTGTCCGTGTCTTCCAACCGCCGGATCGGTTCCATAGATTTTACACTCGGTCGCGCCTAGAGACTGGCAAAGGAGGAGGACGACGACAATCACCGTCAAATTAATCAGCACAACTTTTCAATGCCTGCTTCGATATAGTTACTGTTCCATTTAGACCGAAGTAAGTACTGGGTGGTTGGAGCAGGTTTCCATCATTTTACCTGCCGCGGCAAGCGCACCGGGCTTGGGATGGGAATGCTAATGTCACAGCAGGTTAATCGAGCATTCTGTACATTATGGCTACTAGACCTCCCCTTTCGCCTCCGGTGAACGAGACGGAGCATTCCGTCAGCCGGATTACTCGTGAAGGCAAAAGAATCACATACAAGCTCAATGTTATGCAACAGCCCGAACGTGCAAGAGCATGCGGTGCCGGCGCCAAATGTACGCATCACTCCCTGCACGCAATGCGGACATTATTGGAGACCAGGCTGACCATGTTTGACTGTTTCTAGCATCTGCGGACCGTCGCCCTGTTGATCCCCCACCGGTTGTCGAGCTGCGTATATTCGAGTCCGATCCGAACGATGACGTGCACAAGACAGATATCACCTTCGCCTACAACGCCAATTTCTTCCTGTTTGCTACGCTAGAAACTGCTCGCCCCATGGCGCAAGGACGGCTTGCCCCAACCCCGACGTTTCCCGTTCTCACAGGTGTCCCGGTGGCGGGAGTGGCATACTTGGATCGCCCGTCTCAGGCTGGTTACTTCATCTTTCCCGACCTTTCCGTCCGTCATGAGGGTGTTTATCGGTTGAGCTTCCATTTGTACGAGGAGACCAAGGACAGCAAGGATGCGGATGAAAGTGCACCAATTCGGTCACCAATGATGAAGGGGAAGCCCTCAATTCCCAAATCGTTCCTGAACTTCCGTCTCGAAGTCGTCTCGGTCCCGTTCACGGTTTTCAGTGCCAAGAAGTTCCCCGGTCTGACCACCAGCACTTCCTTGAGCCGCATCATTGCAGAGCAAGGCTGCCGCGTCCGTATCAGGCGCGACGTCCGTATGAGACGACGTGGCGACAAGCGATCTGACGACTACGACTTCGACGAGGAACGATCCCACCGCGGTCGTATTCCGGATCGGTATTCAACCCCTGACGCCTACGCAAACCCTGTTGAGCGTCCACGATCGACCAGCATTGGGTCCGTGGACCCAGCTTTCTCCTATGGGCCTGAGGCTCCTCGTCGGCCATCTGCCACGGAGTACGGCTTCCCGAATCCTCAAGCTTATCCACGAGCGATTCCGCCGGCGCCTGCTCCCGCACCACCGGCCTCTTCTACACCCACTCCAGTTGCTCCCATCGCGCCTTCGTCCCGCAGTTCCTCTTACACATCTCATCTTTCTTTCGGCGCGACGCGGACTCAGTATCCTGCCCCGCAACTATCTGGAACTCCTCAGTCCGCAACCACGCCAACTCAGGTTTATTCTCCTCATCCGACTTATACTCCCACAAGGAACCCTTCAACAAGCACCGAATACGAGCCTATGCCCTCTGGCTATCCCCCCTCTCGATTGCCGGCGGAGCGCTCTACCTACTCGAAGCCCTTGCCGCCTATCCGCGTATTGCATCCTTCAGATCCTACTGCATATCGAGCTATGGCCAATCCTGTGCCACCTCGCGCCCCAACTCCCTCCAATGCCGCTCCTTCACTTCCGCCCATCGCATCCATCTCCGCCGAATACTCGAATAATCTGCCGCAGCCACCGAGCAATCTGGCGCCTAGTCCGAACCGGGAACCCAGGGGATTCTTGTGGGACACCCGCACGGCAGCGTCTTCGAAGCGACCTCATGAGGATGCGTTTGGTCATAGCGAGCGCCCACTTTACAATGGCATGCGGCCCGACAGCGACAGCTACCCCAGCGCGGACCGCAGGCCATCCGACGTTCACCGGGCGGCGCTACTCAGCGACCGGGACGAAATGGCATACAAGCGGGCCAACGGGCGGATGGCCACCAAAATTTCTCCGGCCATATAATGAACTCGACAGAAGGGAAATCATGCATACATACAGCACTGTTTATACAAGGGAGGAGTCTCGGCGTCTGGTCGTGCAATTGAATCTGTGATTTGGGTTGGGGGATTGGTAGGGGATTTGGGGGAGCTCTCGGTCTGGGTACACGGTCCCAGGGGAGTTCCCATTTCTTTACGACACCAGTCTTTGACGTTTTTACCACATTGGTCCCTGGCATCTTGGATATTTTTTTGTAAATGATTGTGATACCTGCTTTTTTGTTCATACATATTCCCCACATTGTTTTGTCGGTCCTTCTTTTGTCATCCTGGGTGGGGACTTGGGATCATTGGAGACATGAAACCAAGCGCAGACGGTAAATGCCAATAGTCCCATCAAGTTGAAACCTGCCCGGGCCGATTTGAGTTTTATTTCCTTGTGTTGTGACCGTTTAAGCTCGGCGATTCTGCAGCCCATATTTAGAGCGGTGCTTCGTACTCCCAGCGCATTGCATTCTTCATCCATCCATTTCATTTGTCATTAATTCATTTTTGGATAAAAAAAGCGCTATTGTGCACATGCCTTTCTTCAGGCCATAGCATTGTTTGCCCGTCGCTCTGGTATGTGATTAGCCCTGACTTTTGGCGCCAAAACGGCCTGGTGCGGCTTGGCGGCTGGCCCAGGAACTCGGGCGGGGAAAGTAAACAAATCAACAATCAACAGTCAACAACAAATCACCATCCCAATCGCTCGGGTCCATCAGTTCTTCTCACTATCTGTCTCTCACCGCTAGACAGATCTTACGAGTCTATCCCAGACTTGTTGCCGACCACCCGGGCCACATCTACCAGCTGAACGACCGACCCATCATTGCCATCTTCCCCACTCCGGCTTCCCCGTCTGTTCGCTTCCCTGTTGCTGTCTCCATCGCTCGGTCTCTTTATTTATCCATTGTCTCGCGCTTTCTCTGGTGTCCAATGACCTATCCTTCTATACTTACCCGTCGAAGTGGAACGTTGTGACTGACGGGATGACGGATCGTGAGGCTGCGACCGAGGTAAGTCAGACCCTCTTTTTACTTCATAGCATCCACTCTTTCCTCCCTTGCGCGGGCGGATACTGTGTGAACCCAAAGATCTGACCCATCATTTTCCCTGACAACAGTTGGCCTCGGATCCCGGATGCACCAGCCCAACCATGGACCTCGACCCTCTAGACACCGACCGTCAGCTCGAACAGACCCTGCAGTCCACTTGCGCTGACCATGCGGCCCGCGAATCCCGGACTCGCAAGCACGCGCGCAATGTCAGCGAATCCAGCCTCGAGTCCGGCTACAGCACCGATGAGTCGGGTCGTTTCGATGATGCAGAAGAGCTGGACCAGCCTCCTGCCCGGAGCAGATCGCCATCCGCTCACTCGGCCAAACGACGGCGCTCAAACGACTGGCCGCTGCAGCAGCGAGATGATGCTCAGGCCACTGATAGTGAAGCCCCAGCGCCGAAAGAGAATCCAAGCAGCGGCAATACGACTGCGACTACTACGACTACCACCACTACGGGATATCGCAGACCATTTCACTCTGCGAATAGCAGGAGCAATGGCTCCCCACGAACATCGAGGCATATGCGCCAGGCTGGTCCGTCCGCTCGTGGGCGACGTTCACGGTTCGTTGAAGGAAGCATGAACGACAGCGTGAGCGAGAAACCGCCGAGCATCTTCATGCGCGATGACGTACGCAACAACAGCAATGGCCAGCGGCCCTCGGGAATCTTCCGCTTTGGAAAGGCAATTGCATCAGCGTTCAACCCATTCGGCGCCTGGGGATCAAAGGCCGGACCGGCCGACGGAGGTGCCAAACAGCCGGGTGACCCTTTGAGTCAGGCGGAGAGGGCATATGCGGAGCTGAAGAAGTCCGGCTACAAGGGAACCGTCAAGGGAAGCTACTTACAAAATCTGAACGCAGAGTCTAACACGCCCCAGCGGTCGTGGAACCCGATTCCCGAGCAGATGGAATATAGGCCCGTTGGAATTCATTCGCGCCAGAATTCGGGCGAGCTCACAGAATCAGGCAACTCCCTTCGGTCATCGATCCAAGAATTACGAAAAGCTAAATCGTCCTTGGGCATACCCTTGGTGAGACGACAAGATTCAAACAAATTCCCGGAAGAGCTGGAGGGAGCCGCAGTGCGACGGCAAAAGTCGCGCAAGGAACTTCAACGGCAAGCCAAGCTGATGAAGCGAGTCAGTGATCTAGAGATCAAGCTGGAGCGGGCCCGACGAGAATTGCGCGAACTGGTGGGTGAGGAGCAGGAGGTGCTGGCACCAATGCCCTTACCAGAGATTCCCTACCCTCGGAAATTTGTCCCCGGGGCGCTTCCCTCGCTTCCTTCAGAGCGGCTGCTGTATCAAGCCGCAGCAACAGTCTCGCCTACGTCCCCAAGGAATGCGTCAGCCCCCGTGTCATCCTTGACCAACCCACCCAGCAGCGGTCCGCACGAACTCGCCGGGACACCACATCTCACCCCGAAGACCCCTAAGGAACGCCAAGGACGAAGCTCCCTAAGCGCAGACAGCCCGTCCCTCAAGCGCAAATCCCCAGACCCAGAGTCTCTAAAGACATCTCAACAGAAAGACCCAAAGCACTCGACCACACCAGGCACCGACAAGCCCTCGGAATCCGAGGAAGCCACAACCCCTCGCCGCACCAAGCTCCCCAAAATGCTCACCAGCGACAGCCCCGGCTCCGTCGAGCGCAAGCAATCTAAAGACATATCGAATACCGTCTACTCCTCCGGCGAAGAGCGCGGTCGACGTCGCTCCCAACCCCTCCGATCCGCAAGCACCCGCTCTCCCTCGGCGCGCCGACGAGCCTCCAACTCGCGCAACCGGGTCCAGCCCAGCCTCCGCATGAAAAAGGCCCGCTCTGACCTCCGTTCCGCAGGTGCCAGCGAACCATCCCAAGACGACAAAGAGAACCACGACTACCACCACCAAAATGACTTGATTTCTACCCCTCAGGACGATACCTCCCAGGGAGTGATCGAACCAGAAACGAAGAACGAGATTGTCGAGAGTTGCCCGCACTCTTCTTCTTCTTCCTCTCCTTCTGCGTCCCCGAGTAAAAAGAAGCAAGCCCGATATGAATATATCCCTCCGGTGCCGCCCCTCCCGAAAGATCTCTCTGCTACGGCCGCTAAGGTCGATAGACGCATCGCTAAGGAGATGGGGAAGAAGCGCGAGGCGCGAGATAAGGCTCGGGCGTTGGCGGGTAGGATGACGGAGGAGGGGGAGAATAGGGGGAGTTTTCAGTGGCCGGAGGATTTTTTCTGAAGACAAGTCAATAAATACGCACAGTTGGACTGATCGCGTTGGTGTGGTGGTGTGGTGATATGAGTATCTCGCACTTTGGGCAGTGGGTTTTGTTCGGTATCTGTGGAAGGTTACAGATAACATATGAAACATGAAACATGGACAGAAGTTTTTGAAGAAGGATGATGCATGATGAATGCAAACAGGGATCGAATTGGGTATATGCAGATGCATTGCATTTCATCCTACACCCATATATTTGTTTGCTTGGATAGCATCAGTGGAGGAAAGAAGTTGGTATGATAGTAGTGAGTGGGAGGGAGGGTATTTCCTATGTGTATCTCCTATTGTTCCTTTGACGAGTGTAACGACGTGATGACCCATAATGAATTGAACATTGATGATATATTCTTTAATGCTGTTGCTTTCTGAGTAGTAATGTATGCTGTAGTTGTATACCTCTTTACCTCATAAGGTAGATCTTCTCTACTCAGGTATATGGGTACCACCAACATTGAAATGTGTAGTCTCTCGAACACATACACACAACCTACCTCAAATACTATACTCTCCTCAACTACAAAATAGCCATCGCATTCGCATGCGACCCCACTCCACCTACATCACACAAATCAGCATCTCACACTATCCAAACAAGAAGAAATAGGAACAGGGGGAGAGGGAGAACATACCAACAACATTGGCCGGCGTACTTGTCACAAAGACCACCCATCTGCCAATCTCCCTACACCTCCTAGCGAGCTTCTCCAAATCCCACATTTCGCCCAACGGCATCCCCCACAGCGCCAGAATCTGCTGATGAATAAACCCAAATTCCTTCTCCGGCGGCCAGGCCTCAAACGTGGGCGAATCGCCCGCCACAGCAGCAAAGTAACAATCGTGCAACCAATCCAGGATAGGTTCTTCCTGGCTCACACCAGCGAATTGGAGATCGGAGTGAGCACGGTTGAGGACATATTGGGCGCGTTGTTCGGGGGTCAGGGTGTTGTAGCGCTCGACGAAGCCCGAGCGGATGAGGAGGATGTCGCCGGGTTGGATGTCTCCGCCTTGGGAGGCGGGACGAATGTCGAGGCCTTGGGATTGGGCGCACGCTTGTAGAGAGGCGTAGGTGATGCGGTGGGTCGTGTAGGGGTCGTAGGAGATGGAGTGGGTGTCGGCGTAGTGTTTGTAGTCAAGGAGGATGGCGCGGCCGGCTATTCCATGCGTGGCCCAGTGGTGGATGCTGCAGCGGTCTGTGGGGGTGGGGCCGATGATGTCGGTGGATTTGGTCTGGTGGGTTGAACCTAGGTTAGTTTGGGGTTGTGGTGGTTTGGGTTGGGTTGGGTTTGGGGTGTGCGTACGTTGTTGTAGAAGGTTTTGGTTTCGCCGTGGGCGAACTATGTCGATTCGGGGATTAATATAGATAGCTAGGTATGCTACGAGTTGGGAAGGACTTCATGTCGGAAGTATCATACGTGACGGAATCCATCCCATTGAGTGCCGCTTTGCGTGTTCAGAGAGTATGTGTCGTCGAAGACGACGTCTTTGGCCACCTCTTTGATGTTGTGCTCGAAGGATTGGCGATGGAATGCCGGTGGGTTCGGAACGTTCAACGGAAGACTGCGGGTGGAAGTTGGTCATCACTGATGCTTGCATGATATGAGTAGTGAGAGCACTCACTCGAGACGGATCATCTCGCCAGTTTGGATCTCTACAGCTGCTGCTTTGACTCTTGCCGGTGTGAGCAGGTTCAGTCGTCCTAGCTGGTTTGCTAATGCGTTAACATATAGTTCGGAGCAGAGAAGTAACAACTAGTCACAAACCAAATCATCCTTGCCCCAAACCCAGGCAGCTTCATCCGGAGCACCTGGAATCTTGGGAAGCTCCTTGCGAGAGGGGAATTGGATACAGTTTGGATCCCAAGGGAGCTGGTCAGGGATTTGTGTTTTAGTGGTTGCAGACATGGCAGGTAGTATAACCGGCGATGATATTAGGAGTTAAGGCGACAAGTCAGATCTATAAGATAGGGATGACTTTGCTCACAGCGTCTGAAGTGCTTGGAAGAAAGAATAAGAAGAAACTAGCTGTAACTGGCTATATAGTACAGCGCTGACTAGATTCTATGCTGCTTTTCCTCCTTCGGGGAAGAGGGCGATGTCTGTCGCAGTGAGGGGAGATGTGGGACACCGGATGAGCATCCTGATTCTCCGCGGTCCAATCTGCGTCATATCATAACTCTCTGATGCTATTTCACTGGCCAGTGCCATTTGGTGCAAGCCAGAAATTGGGCCTGTCTTTCCCCACAAGTGTCACATAAACGGTCGGGAAAGCCCATTTGCAGTTTGACCGAGGTAAGGAGCACGTTTTTGGAGGCGATTTTGCCGACGATGGGGCAGGATGGGCATGTCAAACCAGGACGCACGAATCAGAGAGGGATGGGTGATGTAGTGATTGAGAGTGGAGAGACTTCGAGGCGAACAAACTAAGTGATTGTCCTGGTGGCCTTTGTTGGACCCTGGCCAGTTGATGGACTCCGGCGGTTCCCCGGAACTGGGGGGGAAAAGCAAGCTCTCCCCGCATGATGGAGGGCGGTTAAGCCTTTCAATTGACTAGACTGATTTTTGAGAGCAAGAAAGTCAATTCAAAGAGTTTGTTAGATAGAGGCCCTCGGTAGGGAGTATGTTCAACAGGTTTTGGCAGAAGGGAGAAGGCACGCCTCCCCGTCCGGACTTGCCCCCACTGCATGTTAATCTTTATAATCTCTACACTAGACGCAGCCGAGAACAGACAGCTTTGAAGAACCAACTACGGTAGACTAATAAACTACGACAAGACACCTGATGGCAGACCAATTGGCCTCCTTTTTTTCGGGTTTTGCATGCGAAGGGGAATCATCTTGTAGTATGATACACAGACTCGAGTCCACCAGAGCAGCTTCTGGGAGTGTCAGACTCAGGCAAAAGCCTCGCCCTTTCCGCGGGCGGGCATCATCAAGAAAGAAGACATGATCATCGTCCAGACAAGCAAGGCAAAGGAGGCTCACGACCAACCCATGCGACTATTTAACGCCAAATTTGACACCAGATGCAACCGTAGCCGTTCAGGCACGAAGCTCCCCAATCCCACCGTAACCCATAGTGATCCCAATCACAATCCGAAATGTCCCGACATGTACAATGCCAAGCTCAAGTACTCGTAGGATGCTCCATCAGACGCCAGGGATATCAGAAGCAGACAGTTGTGGAAGGATATCAATACTCCCCAAAGCGCAGAAAGAAAACAGATAAATAGACAAAGCCACTCAAAACGCTAAACGCATGGTGATAAGTTTCAACATGAAATAATAACAATAGGCCGATAATTGGATCGCCTATGTCTGGGTAGGCACACCGGTGGCTTGCGAAGTGTTGCGACCTCCACGAAGGCCTCCACGACCCCGAGAGTATCCACGTCCGTAGCCACCACGGCCACGGCCATAGCCCCTTCCTCTGCCACGACCACGGTAGCTTCCCCGGTAGCCGTCAACGCTACCCTGGCCGAAGGTCTCGATGTTGCGCTTCTCCTCCTCGCCGCGCCACTCACGGCCGCCCACACGGCCTCCCGTTCCCTCTTCGCGATCACGAGCCTCGCTCGAGATGTTATCGAAGAAAGAGGTTGACCTGTTGTAGGTAGCCACAGAGGATGCATCAGCACTGGTATCAGGCGCTTCAATGTCCCCGTTATTGATGGAAGCAGTCTCAGCCTCGTGGACAGGCGATCCAGTGGCAATGGCCTCCTTGACCAGATCTTGCTTGTTGAATTTGGCGTTGGCAGTCTCGAAGTCGTAGTCCGTATCAGGAACCTCGACCTTCTTCGACTGTCCCTGGTAGGGAGCGCGGTGGCCGCCACGTCCACGGGGATGCTGATGATGACCACGGGGAGCGCGGTTGCCCTCATACGGCTTCATTTCCGCCATCTGTCTCGTTACTCCTTCAACGGACACCTCGCCATGCGCAGGCTTCTTGGGCGCGTTAGGCTGGGGCAGCTTGGCCATAGCCGCCGCAACAGCCGCCGTAGCAGCACGCGTGGCCTCGGTAATGGCCGCCTGAGCGGTACCTTGCGGCACACTGCTTCCAGCGCCAGCGACAGGAGGATTGCCTACAGCAGGAACAGGTGGCTTGGAGAGAGCATTGATCGGAATCGCCGGCTGCACACGTCCGCTCCGGGGTCCAGTAGGTGGCATCTTGGCCGGAGTCGGAGCCGCGGCAGCAGCAGGAATACTGGAGGCTTGTACGGCCTCCGTTACAGATGGTTTCGATTCAACAGGGGGCGGAGGAGCATTCTGAGCAGAGACGCCAGGTGCGGGTGTGGCATTCCGACTGGCTGGCTTACTGGACGGCCGGTCACCAACGGGAAGCTCAGAGGTGGGTTTAGGGACATTTACGGGGCCTGCGCCAGGTACCCCCTGTCGCTGCGGAGGAGGGGTCTGGTGTTGGCCAGGGGGTCCAATAGGCATCTGAGGTGGGGGGAACTGGCCTGGTCCTTGGGGGAATCCTTGACCCGGGGGAGGAAACCATCCTGGTGGCGGGGCTCCATACGGCATATTAGGAAAACCAGGTCCAGGAGGGAAACCGGGAGCTCCAAAGCGTTGTCCATATGGAGGATAGAAGCCTTGGAACGGCGGTTGTTGAGGGTAGCCAGGAGGCGCCGGGCGAGGCACCTGAGGCTGTTGTGACGGAGGCAAGCCCTGGGAAGTAGGTCCCGGACGAGACATACTCTGTTTCATGAAACTCAATTAGCATCATGACTTGAGAAAGAGAAGATGTGTGAAAAGGCAGAGTTAAAAGTGCTTTGCTTCTCGATCATTCAGAAGGAAGGCAACGGAAAATATCCACATGAATTGTTTGCGCAATTCGGAACAGGTCTGTGAGTTTACATCCGAAATATTTCATCATTTGATCGAGTGTCCGTACGGAACAAGTCCGAGGACGCAAAGCACCCAAAGGGCAGGCAAGGGTTGGAATGAAGTGAAGAATTGGTAAACTTACCCCTAAGATGGCGGGATCATCTGGCACCTGAGGTTCAGGTTGACTGTTCTCCTTCGTGTCCTCTGCTACGCTAATGTCTTTTACGTCACTGCCTCGGAAGACAATGTATTCGTAGACGCTGGCCGACGGGGCAATCTCTTCAGCGGGATTGCCTCGACGACCCTCGGTCCCGAAAGAGACAACATTCTCCAGAGCTATGGTGGATGCTTCAGGATTGATCTCATGCAACGTTCCAACATAACTGCCAAGGTCAAGTTAGTCTTGATCCGGGGGGTGCAGCCAGGTGCGAGGACGAAGCAGCTGTAGGAAGGCCAGATAGCCAAGAAAGGGAAGGATCGAACATACCGAATGTCACTCTTGGAGATCAGGTTGAAACGCTGACTGCCAGGTGTTAACTCCCGCCTAGCCGCACAAACCCTGGTTCAGACCAGTAGTGGCATAGAACACTGACCCTATTAAATGGTTCATATCCATGCTGACAGGGGAGTGTGCGCGATTGACGCGCAGAATAGAAAAGAAAGGTACAGGGGGGAGAGAGGGAAGGAGGAGGGAAAAATCTGCTCAATGGGGAGGGAGGTGGGAGGGGGGGAAGGGCAAGGAAGTGGGAGGAAGAGAGAAGAAGGGAAGATGAGGGAGAGAAAAGGTTTAAAAAGGAACGACGGAGCTTTTGTGGTGGGAAAGGCTGGGGCTCCGGTGGACGGGAGAAGCTCAACATGCAGTTCCTTCGTTAGTTTTGCCCGAACGGACCACGTGAGCTCCGTCAGCGGGGAATGCTAGTAGTATTCATTATTCACCAAAAGCTGGTTTTGTGGATAGCATCCTAGGCATTGTCTGGGTCTAATCTGGCTATTACATTGCCCCATTTCCTGGTTACTGCTCCTTATTCTTGGTCATAATAATAGTTTCATCAACTAAAAATCCCCTCCTACCAATATGGCCCAATCCTCCCACCGGGATGATTTCTTCCAAACCACGTTCGTCACTCCATCTTCTACCGCCCAGCTCCTCCTATCCGCAAGCTAGTCGCTGATGCCCCACGCCTCCCAGAGCCGCCCTTGATGAGCAGAAGCGAAAGGATGTGAAGTCCCAAAACACCAATGGCAATCCCATCCGTCTTCAGAGTAAAATCCTCGCAGTCGCAGCTGATCCTCTGAGTACTGGGTCTGTCTATGTAGCTCAGAGTGGTGGTACGGTCAGGAAGGTCATACTCGAAGTAGGTGCATGGTATTCTCGCTGCAGCGTGTCTTACGAATACCCGGGCTAAGCCGTTTCTTTCCCTATAGACCGGTGAAACTGCAGCTCTTTTCAAAGGCCCGACTGCCCCCGTCACGAGTATTTGCTTTAGCCCCAATGGCCGGTTGCTGTTCGCGGGGTGCTGGGACAAGACGATCTGGAGTTGGGGTGTGGAATCGAAGGAGCCGAAGTTGCGCTATGAGGGCCATACCGATTTTGTAAGGTCTGTCATCAGCACAAGACTACAAGGTCAGGATGTTCTTGTTTCAGGAGGCGCCGATGCACAAATCATTGTCTTCGACATTGCGACCGGACAGCGACTCGCGGTGATGAAAGGTCATGCAAAGGGAATCCAGGACCTCGCCCTCGATCCCGTCTCTCTCGACTCAGACAGCTCCGAGTTGATTGTGTTCAGTGCGGGTAGTGACCGACAGATCCGTCAATTCGACATTTCTACTGGCAGCAAGGACCTTACTGGCACAGAGGCTCTTCTCGCCCACGATACCAACGTGCACAAGCTTTTCTTTGACCGCGACGCTGATCTCTGGACTGCTTCGGCGGACAAGACATCCAAGTGTCTTGTGAGAGAGGATGGCTGGAAGCCCAACTTGACGCTGACTCACCCGGATTATGTGCGAGATGTCGTGGTCTACGAACAAGGAGGCTGGGTGGTCACTGCTTGCCGAGATGAGGAGGTTCGCGTGTGGAATCGATCGGTACGTACATATCACCAGTACCATACCGCTTTATTTCCTATGCGATGGGAATTCTACTGACATATATACTTTCTACTGGACAGACCGGACAGCTTTACCATACCTTCTCCGGCCACTTCGAAGAGGTTACGGGGCTCGTGCTTCTCGGATCGACTGTCGTCAGCGTCAGTATCGATGCCACTATCCGCCAGTGGTCCTTGAAACCCGATGAACTTGAAATCGCAGTAGCAAAGGCGAAGAAAAACAACGAGGAGGACGAGGAAGAGCAACAAAACCCGGGGACGATGCTGACGGAAGAAGAGGAGCGGGAACTGGCGGAACTAATGGCCGAGGACTGAGTGCAGTTGCGTTGCTTGCCCTGGCTTATTGTTGGTGGGGCGAATCGAGCAACAGGGATGTTACCACGCCGTGCGGAGTATCAGGGCGTAGACAAATCGTAGATCTGTAGAACATCTCTGTAAATGTAGGCACACTCGCACATAGGGACATGCACCGAGTAAGGAGGCAGGAGCACACGTGACCCAGTTGATGCACCCATGACGCACGACGGCCGACGATCTCCCGGATGCGGGCCAGTCTAACGCGGGCACATGCTGCTTCCTCGCTCCTTCTCCATCCTCCCCCTCATCCCACTAGCTCGCTCTTCCTGCTGCCCTTCTGCCTTATACTTCTATCTAGTTGGCTCTTCCTTGCCACCACTACTCGTGGCCTGTCGTTCCTGCCCCATCTTGATTCCTCTTTCCTTTCTGGTCATTCTTTCCATCTCCTAAACCCCCCTCTCCCCCTCCCCTGTCTAGCTTGGTAGCCGGGGTCCAACCGCGGAGGTGGTATCTTATCAACTATTTTCCCCTCTCTCACAACGTGCCTTTCCGAGGCTGTGTACCCTTCTGGGCTGGATAGACGAATCATCTATCAACCTAAGTGGATCACTGCGTGAATGTCTCACGGCCTCAACAGAATGGCTGCTCCATTAGCCATGCACCATGATGGCGCGACCGACGCCGGTCCGAAACTCGTCAACCGACTGCACGAAAGCCGATCGCCTTATGTGAGTTCGGACAAACCCCCTGCCCTCGCGTCAAAAACTGACTCGTGAATAGGTTAGGGCGCATATGAACAACCCGGTGGGTTGGCAGCTATGGGATGCCGAAGCGATCGATTTGGCCAAACGCCATAACCGGCTGATCTTCCTCAGTATCGGTTATTCGGCTTGTCACTGTAAGCTCTCCATTCGCGACGCGTTGTGGCGGCACAACGTTCTAACGTCAACGCAGGGTGTCACGTAATGGAGAAGGAATCATTCATGTCGCAGGAGGTAGCTTCCATTCTTAATCAGTCTTTCATTCCAATCAAAGTCGATCGCGAAGAGAGACCCGACATCGACGATGTTTATATGAACTACGTGCAGGCGACCACTGGTTCTGGAGGCTGGCCTCTGAACGTTTTCTTGACTCCTGATCTGGAGCCGGTCTTCGGTGGTACCTATTGGCCGGGCCCCAACTCCTCCACGTTGACAGGAAATGAGACGATTGGCTTCGTCGAGATCCTCGAGAAACTAAGCGATGTATGGCAAACACAACAACTGCGATGCCGTGAGAGTGCGAAGGAAATTACGAAACAACTTCGCGAGTTTGCTGAAGAAGGGACACATTCCTGCCAAGGTGACCGGCAAGCCGACGAGGACTTGGACCTCGAGCTTCTGGAGGAAGCCTACCAGCACTTCGTTTCTCGATACGACCCTCTCCACGGTGGCTTTTCTACTGCGCCGAAATTTCCCACTCCATCTAACCTGAGTTTCCTATTACGTTTGGGTATTTATCCGACTGCGGTTGCGGACATTGTTGGACGTGATGAGTGTGCCAAAGCAACTGCCATGGCTGTTGACACACTTATCAGTATGGCGCGCGGGGGTATCCGGGATCATATCGGCCACGGTTTCGCACGATACAGTGTCACTAGCGACTGGGGCCTGCCACATTTTGAAAAGATGCTGTACGATCAAGCACAGCTCTTGGATGTCTATGTGGATGCATTCAAGATTACCCACAACCCCGAGCTGCTGGGTGCGGTTTACGACTTGGCTACCTACTTGACTACTGCACCCATCCAGTCGCCAACGGGCGCGTTCCACTCGTCCGAGGACGCAGATAGTCTGCCCACGCCCAATGATACCGAGAAGCGAGAAGGTGCGTTCTATGTCTGGACACTGAAAGAGCTGACGCAGGTGCTGGGTCAACGAGATGCGGGAGTCTGCGCCCGTCATTGGGGTGTCCTGCCTGACGGGAACATTGCGCCTGAGAACGACCCACATGATGAATTCATGAACCAAAATGTCCTATCGGTCAAGGTAACTCCAAGCAGGCTTGCAAAGGACTTTGGATTAGGGGAAGAGGAGGTGGTGAGGATCATTAGAACAGCGAAGCAGAAACTCCGGGATTACCGCGAAAGGACGCGCGTGCGCCCCGATTTGGATGATAAGATCATCGTTGCCTGGAATGGACTGGCCATTGGTGCTCTGGCTAAGTGCAGTGCGCTGTTCGAGGAGATTGAGAGCTCAAAAGCAGTACACTGCCGAGAGGCAGCGGCGAAGGCGATCGGCTTCATCAAGGAGAATCTATTCGAGAAGTCTACTGGACAGCTCTGGCGCATTTATCGGGATGGCGGCAGAGGCAATACCCCAGGTTTTGCTGATGACTACGCATACTTGATCGGCGGGCTGCTGGACATGTACGAGGCTACATTTGATGACAGCTACCTGCAATTCGCCGAGCAACTGCAGAGTACGTATTCTCTACTGCGTCGGTGGAAGACTTGTGATGCTAACGCTCTTACTAGAATATTTGAACGATAACTTCCTTGCCTATGTGGGGACCACACCAGCAGGATATTATAGCACACCTTCCACCATGACATCAGGGGCTCCGGGTCCGCTCCTTCGCCTGAAGACCGGCACGGAGTCGGCCACGCCAGCTGTCAATGGGGTTATTGCCCGCAATCTGTTGCGCCTCGGAAGCCTGTTGGAAGACGAGGAATACAAGACGCTTGCCCGGCAAACATGCCGCTCATTTTCCGTGGAGATACTTCAACACCCCTTCCTCTTTGTTGGGCTTTTGGACGCTATTGTTGGATTGGAAACGGGGACACGGAATGTCACGGGTGTCTTCGCTACCGCCGTGACCGAGGGCAGTGTCCAAGCTTCTGAGGGCGTGATCAGAAAGACAGATGAGCCAGTCTGTGTGCGGGACATGATTGTACAGAAGATTCGGGCGGAAGCCGGGTTGGCGATATCGACGGCGACCACGACCGCATCTCTTGTGGATATCCGAGCGTCTCATGTGGGAGACTTTGTAGGGAATCAATCTTTCTGGTTACGGACGCGAAATCCGTTGTATAGGGAACTGAAAGCGTCAGAGACGGCGAAGAATCATCTCATGGTTTGTGAAAGTGGGCGATGCCGGGTTGTGAATATAGTATGAACTGTACAATGAATGGAAATATTTTTAGTGTCTTTTCAGGCCTTGCAGGATGTTTCAGCTCTACAGCTATTGTATGTAATCAGTCAACAGATTGATACGATTTTCTAGGGATGATCCCGATAGTTAGCGCTCTACATAGTCCAGCTTGTGTATGACAAACACAGGGTTAGTAGCAGTAGCCCAGTCTCAGCCTCAATGCAAATAACTCAGTCAAAACCCCAATAAGCGATACGCTTGAGCATCGTTCCGCCGCATCAAGTCACACAGCAACAGATCTATTTGGTTCATTGGGTTGCTTTGCTTACTACTTACAAAGAGGGGGTGACACAAAATTTGGGTTTGAGGGAGGGGTACAAAGTTATGTGCAATTGTTTCCAATTCTTTGTTTTGAGTCTGAGTTTCAGTTTCATCGGCTGTTTCAACCATACATACGTCATTGCTGGGGTTCCTTTTTTTTCTTCTTTCCGCTTGGGTGTGATGATCTGAACTCGTCAGTTGAGATCGAGATCCGGGTTGGTTTGGTTGGCTGGTTGCCTGCTGAGGGTTGGAGGGATGTCATGTGGTTTGATTGGTCGGGGATGGAAAATACTTTGAAATTACTTTGAATTGGAAGTACAGTAGGTGCTGTGATCTGTGATCTGTCTAGTACTTAGTACTAACATCTTGTCGGGAGGAATAATATACATCCGCTTGGGTTAATTGATTGAGTGATTGTGGTGGGTTTTACTACCTTCAATACTAGTATGGATTGAAGTTCGGGTCGAGTTCGGGGCTATATAGTTCAGACTAGTAGTAGTACTGCTGTCAATAATTCATATTTATTGTAGGGGAATGTTATGCTTTGCTCATGCACTAGTAGTAAGCCATGGTTTATTAGGAGTGCATATTTGTATGTCATTGTGGTTATGACTTGTTCAAATGCTGAAGTACTAAGAGATGAAATGCTGTGTCATAGAAATATATACTATCACTATTAATGAGTCAAGTGATATACTACTTACTGTCTACATTCGGATCTGTAAACGACATTCTAGTAATAATCTCATTACCACATTGAATATTATCAGACAGACCACTAAAATGTAGACTCTCGTTTGTCAACAATCCCACCTGATATCTGTTGTATGGGACAACTGCCAAAGAGGGGCGCGCGCGCACTCGGAGCCGAAGTTTGGTGCCGGGATGCTCCGCTTAAAAATCCCACCCAAAGGCGGAAATGCATCCGAGGGTTGGGTCAGTCCGTCCATTACAGAGAATTGGATGCTGGTTCGGTTGAAGTTTTATTCGCTAAGCTCTTCCTCATTAAGTTGGAGGATGTGTATGTGTATGTGTGCAACGTAAGCTAGTCAGATGTCATGTGGATTGTCGATGAAGTTAATTTTGTGATGTTCTCATGTTATGTGTTGAGACTGTCCACACTTTTCCGCCAAGCTCAATGCTAAACGCGCAAGTAGCCGGTGTATCCAATCGATGGGATTGGATGGATGACAGGGGATTCGTTATTTCATTACGGTGCTTTGGAAATCACTCAGCTTGTTATCGTTCTGATTCTTTGGAAATGCACACGTGTATGTGTGTATCCGTGCGGAGTTAGGCAGAAGAATAATATGTCAACCATGAAAGACACCAGGTATGTATCCATGGCCAGAGTTGTTGCTTACGACCTGTCGAAATTTTTTCTCTTCTAGAAGGAAGATAGTATCCAAGGATCCGCATGCAGTGGCAAAGAAGGGTTTACTTGAAAGCAATGACAATGATTTGCTTGATGTATGGTGTAGTTCAAAGCCGATGATACATCTGAATGTGATTGAGGTGTCTTTATCCGTTGGGAACCATGGAACCGAAGAGGGGGCTTGTGTGTAAATGCAAAGAGACTTTATCCCTCCCTCTCTCGCGAACCTCTCCTCTCCCCCCCCCCCCCCCCCCCCCCCCCCCCTCCCTCTCTCGCGAACCTCTCCTCTCTTGTTTCTCTCTGAAGCTCTACAAGTGTCATGGGCGTTTGTACCAAAGAATGGCTGTTAATGGCGCAATTCCCACCGAATGGGTTCATCTAGACTAAGGGGAAAAAGCCGTCTGTTAGATAGATGGACTCCATCCTAGGCACGGCATATCCATGGTTCTAGAACTTCGACACATCACCATCAACTGTGTGACGGGAATCTCCACGACCGAGTGTTAAGCAGTGGTCCTGGGGCAACAGGCCTCGGGAAATGGTCTAGATATTACACCGTATCGAGCTGCGAGGCAAAGAGAGTAAGAGAGAGAGAGAGAGAGAGAGAAGCTGGAGCCGGGCCACTAGACTACTTACTAGACTAGCTCCAGGTACCCAATCTCCGAAAGATGATGGGAAGGCCACAAGTGAAACGTTAGCGAGCGCCATCCTGGCTGTGAGTGGGTCGGTCAGTTGCCAAGTTTTGGTGGTTAATCACAGTTAGCGACCCTGCACTTTTACCCCTGGGAATTACTTGAGTGGGCGGTGTTCTATTCCGACCCCCAAATTTGCGGTGGACTGGGGGGTTTGGTTAAGTTGGCTGACTATGAGAGACTTATTGGAGAGAAGAGAGGAGAGGGGAGGGCCAGTATAATGACTTAATGAGGATGATGCCTGTTCATCATAGCTCTCCGCTCATATTATTGAGTTTAATAATATCGAATAGATCATCTTACATTGACATCGGAGAGTTTTCCCCTCGGAGCTTCACAGGTGCTCATTTCTTGGTCTTGGTATTTCTTGGGCATGACGAATGTTAACCGTCTTTGCAGAGAGTGAAGAGTGATGACCACCTTGGGATCCATTGACAGGCATTGGTCTGGACTTTTGGGATGGACCAACAACGAGAGGAGACTTGAATGTGTTGCTTCCACCAGCAGACTGCAGTAGACTACCCAGCGTGGAATTGGAAGAAAGACCCAAGGATGGGTGGTGGGCTGTTAATCCATTGCGACCGTGAGAGACCCACCGTCAGCGTATCAACCTGGAACGGGGCGTTGATTGGCTTAGAAGCGCCCGTTCCTGAAACGGGTGGCATGCGCCTTGACCCAGAGTAGCTTAGTGGCGAGCCAGGGGCACGGGATTTTGTTCGACGGTTGGACAATCCAATCCCTGCAAAATATGCCCTCTTTTTTCCTTTGGGTCCCCAACTTTTCCAGGGGCAAAAAAATAATGCGACAGAAAAACACCTCGTCACTGGATAGTTAGTACAGTAAATACTCCGTAATCATATCGATTTGCCGGTAACCGTGAGGCGCGATGTCGGGCCGCCTTATGGGCTGCACTCTGTATCCTCTCTGTATCTCTCTCCCGCGTCTGCTACTCTTTCTGGATCCAACATCGTCTCAGGTCTCAGGGACGTGGAGGTCAGAGACCCTGGCCCTGGAAGATTCCTTGTCAGAAACGCCATGGGCGGGAATGTATCATCAACCAAAGGGACTGGCCAGTCAGTTTATCGTAGACGATCATCTTTGCTATTCTCTCACAAAATTTCCCTACTGTGTATCCCTCCCTTCCCAAAAAAACTTCCGGGTACGTGCTCGTGGTTGGGACATACGTAGTCACTCAGGGGAAAACAATGGACACAAGCACCAAGGCACGGCATTCCGTGGAACTAGGCCGGTGTACACGCGAGCTGAACCGATATTAATGCGCTGGGACCGCATGGCGCTTTGAAAGAGCCATTGAATCTTTCTCTGTGCCTGTCTGTGTTCTGAAAGAAATTGGCTGGTCAAAGGATGCTCGCCTGTCTGCTCACTCGGGACAGGCCCCCATCCATGACCCATCGCGACGTCGAGATCCGTCCAGAACCCACTCGTATATGAAGCTCCCCCCGTCTGAATTAATTTGCGTTTAATTATCAGAGATCGCCGACCCCACCGGGTACACGCCGCCCGCTGGAGTCGCTCTCCTTTCCGTGATTAAGTTGCCGCCCCAACTCCAGCTGCTCGCTCTTTCTGCTCGCTCCAGACTATATTATCACTTCACGCCCACTCGGCTCCTTCACTGTTGCCCTTCGTTCTTTACCGTTGGCCCTTCCCACCGTTCCCTTCCAACCTTCATCTCACCTTTTCGCCTTTATTTTTGGTGCACTTTTGTTTCCACTCCTTCAAAAAAGTGTTTCCTCTTCCTGAAGGCTGTCATTCTTTTGTCCATACGTGCTGGTTATTCGTACATATACACCCACCAAACCCCCCTTCGGTCTTACCATCCCAACCACTTCGCAGTCGATCTGCATTTATCGCCAGAAAACTCTATCAACTTTTATCTGTCATACACTGTTTCGTGCCTGTTGATCTCTTGGCCGCATAACTTCCCGGAGAAGTCGATCTCTATCGGACACAGTTGAACTGTAGTAAATCATCCTCTCGACTCTTGGCAAAGACAATACCAACAACCCTCATTCAATCATGCGTTACTCTCTCGCTCTGGGTGCCCTTTGCGCCGCTGGTGCCTTGGCCAACAATGTTGACAAGCGTTCTTATGTGACCGACTGGACCCTTGTCACCTTGACCACCACCATCACCGAGTACCCTACTCCCACGGTCTATGAGAACGTTGCCGCTCAAGAGGCCACTGCGGCTGCTTCCTCCTCCAGCGCTGCTGCCGCTGCCGCTGCCGCCGAATCGTCCAGCTCTGCCGCTGCCGCTGCTGCTGCCGCCTCCGCCTCTGCTGAGGCCAGCACTTCGTCTGTTGTCACTCCTGTTGTGGAGACCACCGCCGCCGCGACCACTGCTGCTGCTGCTGTCGCCACTTCCGCTGCTGAGGAAGTTGCTACTTCCTGGACCTCCGCCTGGACTTCGGCTTGGACTTCGTCCTGGTCTTCGACTGTCGCGCCGTCCACCACCCTTGCGACTTCGACCTCGTCCAGCGCTAGCTCGACCGCCACCAGCGCTTATCAGTCCGCGGTCTTGTACAACCACAACGTCCACCGTAGCAACCACTCCGCTAGCTCCGTCGAGTGGTCTTCTGACTTGGAGTCGAGCGCCTACACCCTGGCCGCCAAGTGTGTCTATGAGCACGACACGTAAGTAGATCATGCATTCCAGAAAACCCCTGTTCCTTGCACTGACGTGAATGCGCAGTTCCATTGATGGCGGTGGCTACGGTCAGAACATTGGATATGGTGTTGAGGCTTCCGAGATTGGCGTCATGATCACCAACCTCATGTACAACGACGAGATGGGCTACTACACCGACCTGTACGGCGAGGCCGACCCTGACATGACCTACTTCGACAACTGGGGCCACTTCTCCCAGATTGTCTGGGCTGCCACCACCCACGTTGGTTGCGCTACCGTCACCTGCGACAGCCTGGGTAACGTTGATGCCTCCGAGGCCCTGCCCTTCACGGTCTGCAACTACAGCCCTGCCGGTTAGTATACCCGTATTCCTCCTAAGCTTCGATAAGAGATTACTGACAGGCGTGATTTTCAGGAAACTATGAGGGAGAATATGCCACCAACGTCAAGCGCCCTCTCGGCCAACCTGTTTACGTTGCCTCCTAGATGGCGAGAGATGATTTCGCGTGACTATGCCTGGAGACCGTCGCTCTTGCACCATGTCAAGTTATAGTCGGTTTCCCTGCACCTGACGGGTAAAACGGTCAGCGTTGCCATGACGGGCGTTGGGGATATCGATGCGTTGGGTTAGAGCTGCCTGTGATGGAAGTAAAACACCTGTCCCTGATCCGTCTGGTGCAAGGGCGATTCTCTGGCCACCGGCCATGTGCGAACATCGAACAATGGAGATTCTGACGATCATCAGTCCTTTTTTGAAATTTAAAAATCTCATTTCGCCTTCGCACTGTCTATTTCATTTTGATAATAAGCTTGTCTTCGTCCGAGACATGTCCTGCGCTTGTTTCAGGCCCGGATCGCCAAGACGCTCTGACGGAGGTTCCATCTGGGGAAGATCTACCCTACCGCTTGCCCGAAGAACCGAAACAGGATCCACTCGACCTCGGAGCCCGTGGGCTAGAGCAGGTGCACGGCGTGACTTGCTTTTTTTTTTTTTTTTTTTTCTGCTTCTCTTCACCTGTGAATATTTATTTGTTGCTTTTTATTTGATTTTCTTTTGGTTTGGGCTCAATGATAGACAACATGACTCGTTGGCCTTAGACTAGTTGATCTTCATTTCTTGTGTGATTATGATTCGGGTATATTGCAAAGCGGGTGTGTGGATATGGGGCGCCCCTGATTTAGAATCGGTACTTGCTTCGGGATGACAAAAGCCAAAATGATGAGACCTTTTTCCATGACACCCGGCCATGATTGTGTGTGTGGAGAGAAGAGAAGTAGGTCAAGTACTACTATAGTGTAAATAGGTAGTAAGAATGTCAGCGGGTAGTCCTGTGTTCATGTCTACTGTTATCTCCATCTATCTCTACTATCTTCTTATCTGGTTAGCGCGGCTGTCCCGCCCCACCCACGTGACTGCAGCCTGTGGTGTCATTTTTCGCCGTCCGAATAAGCCCAGGTGATTACCTCTTTTGGGGGGAGGAACCGACTTTGGAGAGAGAGAATCTGGCAGCTTCTCCTCCCCGCAACCAGACTTTCCAACAGTCTCCCTTCGTCCGAAAACGTCACCAATTGGTCTGCTCTCGTCCAGGATTATCGCCACATGTTCCAATCCTTGTCCTAGTAGTGGCTTCCAGGCGCTATCGACCAGGATTTCTCTCGTTAGAGCCCTTCCATCTCTCATTAAACTACTGTCTAATGCGGTCACTGCGGTTGACCCGTCTGTACCACTTCACCTGATTTCAGCTGGGTGGTGCTTCTCTATTGGCTGTGCCCTTCCAATCCCGAGTACGTGTCTCTAGTACTACTTAGTGCTATAGTGCTAGTAGTCTTGTCTAGCAGTTCTTCCTACTGCCTTCTCTTTCTGCCTGGGATTCTCGGCTTCACATGATCGACCTCCCCCCCCGCAGTTCCCATCTCATCCTCTCTTTGGTACTGCCACAGGAACAACGCTCAGCACTGGATGGGGCTCTCCGCACATTCGTGACCTTCTCTTCTCATATTTTCTCTCCTTGAGGTGTCGATAAGTACTTATATTAATTCTTAAATGCTTAGGTAGCTACAGCAGTGCGTTCGTGCACTAGAGCTCTTTCGCCTCCACCTTGTACGGCCCACCGGGCCTATCGCGCATATCTCTTGGCAGACCAGCTGGATATACTTCCCTCTGCCCCTCTAACTTAACCAGACATCATCCGTTACCCCGATATCCCGTCTACCTGCTTGCCTTAGGCGCAGCTGCGGACGGTTAGGCCCGGCGAGCTGGTCCACTGTGGTTCAAGCCTTTCATCTAGGCGTAGCCTGGTCGTTTCCCTAGTGTTGGCAGCTAAGCTGTAAGTGTCCCTTCCTCCGTCTAACTCCCTTTATCCCGAAGGTACCTTTGGGTTCCACCCCACGGCCAGCAGTTGCTCCCCGGGTATCATTGCGAAACGATGAATAGTTTCCCCCTAGGTGGCTTCTACCTATATATGATACCATTTTCGCTGCACTAGTCTTCCATATGTTTTTCTCGATCTCATGCCCTTCACCCTTCATGATCACATCTTCCTCGTGACGTGAGCCGTGGTCATGAGATAATCCTTCAGCCCCCCTAATACTGCCCTGCCTCTTTATCATAATATCTATCACAACATCTTGCCTCCCCCGTCAATCCCTATACTATCCATCCATTTTTTCCATAGATTCCATCATACGTCTCCAGGACGGGCTGCATTGTGCTGACACCATGTCCTACTCGTCCGTAGCAGTTCGCCACTTCACGGCCCCTAAGTCTCTAGGAAGCGCAATGGATTCTCTTCGTTCGAACTCAATCCCGGAGACCAAGATCAAGCCGTCTTCGGTCCCTACGTCAGTGAATGGAGGAACATCAGAGCCACCAAAGAAGGGCTTGACCTTTGCGAACCAGGATTCGTTACCCAAGTTACCAATTCCTGACCTTGAGCAAACATGCAAGCGATACCTTGAGTCGTTAGCCCCGCTACAGACACTCCGAGAGCAGGAGGAAACCAAGGCAGCTGTGCAGGACTTTCTCAAATCAGAAGGTCCTATTCTGCAAGAGAAGCTCAAGACCTATGCCTCGTCAAAAACTAGCTATATCGAACAATTTTGTATGTCATCAGACATTGAACTCATCCCCAAGCCTTTTTACGTCATCTTAAGCTGACTCATTCTGCTCATTGCAGGGTACGACTCTTATTTGAACTACGACAGCCGTAAGTGACAATGTGCATCAAACGTGGGGACTACTGTACTGACCTGTATGAAGCTGTTGTGCTGAACTTGAACCCATTCTTCCTGTTGGAAGATGACCCGACCCCTGCGAGGAACAACCAGGTTACAAGAGCAGCTTCACTCGTTGTCTCTGCCTTGTCGTTTGTTCGCGCCGTGAGGCGGGAGGAACTCCCTCCCGACACTGTTCGTGGTACGCCTCTTTGCATGTATCAGTACTCTCGCCTGTTCGGAACAGCGCGTGTCCCGACCGATAATGGATGCGTGATAAGCCAGGATCCCCATGCGAAACATATTGTTGTCTTGTGTCGGGGTCAGATTTACTGGTTCGATGTGCTGGACGACAACAGTGACCTGATCATGAATGAAAAGGATATTGCGGTTAACCTCCAGGTCATCATTGGAGATGCAGAACAGACACCCATTCATGATGCTGCGAAGGGAGCGCTTGGTGTGTTGAGCACAGAGAACCGCAAGGTCTGGTCGGGATTGAGAGATATCCTCACCAAGGATGAAGGGTCGAACAACGCAGAATGTCTCAATATCGTGGACACTGCTCTGTTCGTTCTGTGCCTGGACTACACTGAACCACACAACACGTCGGAGCTTTGCGCCAATATGCTCTGCGGAACGAGCGAAGTGGTCCGAGGTGTGCAGGTCGGCACTTGTACCAACCGGTGGTACGACAAACTCCAGATCATTGTGTGTAAGAACGGCAGCGCAGGCATCAACTTCGAACATACTGGCGTAGATGGCCATACGGTACTCCGGTTTGCCAGCGACGTCTATACGGACACCATACTCCGCTTTGCTCGGACGATCAACGGCCAGGCACCGACCCTCTGGGCCACCTCCAGCCCCGATCCTGCGAAACGCGACCCTCGAAGCTTCGGCAATGTCAGCACAACACCCCGCAAGCTCGAGTGGGATATGGCGCCCGAGCTCAGCATCGCTCTGCGGTTCGCCGAGTCCCACCTCTCTGATCTCTTGCAGCAACATGAGTTCCAGGTGCTCGACTTCAAGGGGTATGGCAAGAATTTCATCACTTCCATGGGATTCTCCCCGGATGCATTTGTTCAGATGGCTTTCCAAGCAGCCTACTACGGACTCTACGGCCGCATGGAGAACACCTACGAACCTGCCATGACTAAAGTTTTCCTACACGGCCGAACCGAAGCAATTCGGACGGTGACTAACGAATGCGTCGACTTTATCAAGACGTTCTGGGGAGACAACCCAGCGGAGCAAAAGGTGAGCGCGCTCCGAAAAGCGACCGAGAAGCATACCGCCATCACGAAGGACTGTTCGAAGGGTCAGGGACAAGACAGACATCTTTATGCGCTGTACTGCCTGTGGCAACGGTCATTTGATGATGGCGCGTCGTCCGCGAATAACAGCGTCATCAGCAGCTCCAACGGTTACACCAGCCCTGTGGAGACCGCGTCCATTGAATCGCCCAAGTCTTCTACTTCGTTGTCGGAAGATGGACTATCATCCAATGGCTACAGTGTACGTGGGATGCGCACCATGCCCGCAATCTTCAGCGACGCTGGCTGGGATAAGATCAACACCACCGTGCTGTCGACCTCCAACTGTGGAAATCCATGCCTACGGCACTTTGGCTTCGGGCCCACGTCTGCAGATGGTTTCGGCATTGGCTATATAATCAAGGACGATTCGATCTCGTTCTGCGCCTCGTCTAAGCATCGACAGACTGCGCGTCTTATGTACACGCTGGAATCGTACCTGATGGAGATCCGGAAGCTGCTGCGCACGGTCAACCACCGGCCTGCCAGCCCGCGCACGAGCAGAGCACGCGAGATGGAGATGATTGCCGAGCGGCTCCAGGGCGATCACCGCCGGGGCCGGATCGTCCGGGGGGACCCGGGCCAGCTGCATCGGGGTGCCGAGACACCCACGACGGACAGCGGAGAACTGGAGGACGATGGCATGGGCGGATGTAAGTGCACCTTTGGAAGTGTGTTCCCTTGCGTTAAACGACACAGCTACTGACCACCGAATCAGATGGTTTCTTCGATGCAGGGATGTTGCTCCACGCGCTCAAGGGGCTGAATGCAGACCGGGAGCGGGGCACCGAAAAGCCCGAGAAACGTCGGTTTGTCGGGAAGAAGTTGCGGCTGAATGATTATTGAAGCTGTCTTGGTGTGGGTGTGAGATGAGCTGGCGTGGTCTACGAAGGTCCATGCATTGTGATTAGTTTCTTATTTTCCGTCACTCATGCTCTCCTGATTTAGCCATGATGGGTGTTCGGCGTATATACAACGTGATTGATACCAATGCGATAGATGATTTGCAGCGTTGAAATTTCCCCACCATCTCTTTTGGATGAGATGCATAAACCTTGGGTGCCATACACCGCATCCACATCCAGATGGCGATGAAACAGCTGTCTGTCCTACTTACAGTACTCCGTACATCCGTTCCGCACGCCGCTAGCCGACGCAGACCACGCCACGCGCGCGCGCCGGTTGAATTTTCATATCCCGGTGCATATGCCTGACTTAGTAGTTAGTTAGTCTATTATGGATGTTAGTAAGTTGTCACAACGAAATGCGATTAATTAATCAGCTTGCACGATCTCGATTGTCTCCATCAGAACCGGCCCGGTA